CCCCAAAACCCCAAAACCCCAAAACCCCAAAGGAGTTAGAATGGCAGTAGTCAAATTAAATAGTTGAATTTAAAAAATCAAAAAAATATATGTATAATACCATACACTGCATTGCAAATACCTCCTATTATGATAAAAATATTAAATATCCTCAAATATGTTGGAATTTTCTATTCAAACTATTTTAAATAAAGTAAGGGTGGTATGATAAACATTAACAAATTAGAAAATACTCCTCCACCTATCTATAAAATTATATTTATGCTCTTTAAAGAGGCACTAATCAAAAAAACAAGAGCAATTATCAATATCCTAGAAATCAAATTAGTTCTGAAAACAACTTAATCCATATCTTAGGTCACTTTTTGTTGTTACTATTTTACAAACTTTGTGTACCATTCAAAATTCTCAATAACTTCAAGAATTGGGAATAGCTGAAGAATAAATGAACATAAAACTCCAAAAGCATACATAAACTAAACCAAATTTGAAACTATGCCATATCTTAGGTTCATTATTACAATATCTCTTGTCCCTTATCCGTAAGACAAATAGCCGATGCTTGAAAGAATCATTGTCAATATTCCATCAAGTGAAACTGCAGATATTAATATTTTTCGATATGCTTTTTTATTTTATGTGGAAGCATATATGCCTGGAAGCAGAGCTGTACCTTCCATCGATAAAGATATAAGTGAGAGGAATTTTGGAAAATTCTAATAGTCAAAATATTTAATCTCAATTGGGGTTTATCTAAAGAAAATTATGCTCAATCCATCTATGCATATTGCAAAAATTGCCAAGATCACAGTAAAATTTGCCATATAAGAAAGTAATGAGAGCTATTTAAAATTTTTGAGAGTTGACATTATCATAAGTAGAAGCATTCCAATAAATGAAAGAAAAATTCTATGATGACAAAATAATCCAGCAGTCCTTTCACAAATTAAGTCACTCATTTACTCTCCAAAATATCTTAAGTAAGAGATACAAACAGTTACTTAGCATCCTAAAACACAAAACTCTATGAAATTTCTCATACTTTTATTGTACAATTTCTCTGAAATTTCCCCCAAAGTTCTTATTTTAGGATTACTTGATTTCTCTATTACACTAACCATCTAATTGTATAAGATATTTACGAGGATAATAACTATAATAGATCCCAAAATGCCCCCGAATAATCCAACCTGCTTGTAGGCACTAGGGCATGAAAGTATACCTATACCTACAAGAGCTTTAAAAGTACTTGTAAATGATTCGGATTCGTTAAGTTTAACAATATATTTCTCTGAGTGTCTCAACCTTGACATCCTCCCTTCTAAAGTAACATTTGAAAGTCTCTTTGAATAATATTGATCTGCTAATTTTTGTCTGTTGGGAGTTTGCTTGAATGCAGAATTATTCTCCTTATTAGAAGTTAATACATTTGATATGTTATCATCACAAATGTTTAAATTGTCTCTCTTAACAAAATGAATCTTATTGGGAGTGAACTCCACTATAGTCTAGAGTTTACCTCGAGATTGCCTGTTTGCACTCATCATTTTATGCTACTAATTTAACTAAGTACTTGCTCTTGTTGGAGATGGTGTTGCACTTTTTCTTTAAAAATTCATTTAAATTTTGAACTTAATTAATAATAAGTTAATCGCTACTTTTATAATTATAATTAGACTGTGGGGTTTTGGGGTTTTGGGG